GACAGCAACCAGGAATCTACACAGAGAAATGGAAGAAGCAGCATCATCTATGCATGCAGCAGAAGGCTCTCCTCTCACCATAATTCAAGAGGATGCAGAGTCCTCTTCCAACTCGTCCAATGCTAGCAACAGCTCTGCCATTCCGCTCTCCATTCTTCATCCAACAATACAACAGCAAGAAGACCAACCTGCTCAGATAGAAGAGCAGAGGACTCAACAGGAAGAGCAGGTGACTTCTCCAAAGATAGACCAGCCAAATCAGCTCCACAAGCAAACAACTCCACCTTCACCAACAGATCACTCTCCCACTCCTCTGCAAAAATTAGAGGCTGAATGGGCTAGAGTCAAAGCTTGGAGAGAATGGAAACTCTCCAAAATTCTCCACCAAGCCAGGACCCTAACAAAGTTCATCAGTGAGGAGTACTTTGCTCTCACCTGGCTTGGCACTGAAGACATAGCAAAGGCCACAAATCTTCACCAAATGAATCTGGTCTACCTCACGAAGAAGAAGCAACTGACCGGTAAGTCACAAGAAGAACCTTCTACCGATGATGATGATCTCGATGATAATGACAACAACACTGCTCCAAATGGCTCTCCAGAGGGTAGAGGTAAACAAATCATCTCTTCCTCCTCATCCAGTGATAAAGAACTCCAAATAGCTCTACATAGATCTCTACTTGAGACAAAAGGAGGTGGAGAAACCTCTAGAACAATGGAGGAAGAAGATCAACAGCCCACTGCAGATCAAGAGCAGGAGTCTAGTGCACATTCACAGGCATCTACTCAAAACACTGAGCAGCACTCTCCCACGTTCATTCTTGAAACCAAGGATAATGAGGAAGACACTGCTACCTTGGCAGATGTCTTCATTAGGGAAAGAAGAGCAACAACCAAGTTCATAAGTAATGCTGAAGTTCGACTGCACAAACGGCTCATCAAGATGAAGAAGCAACTTGAAGCAAGACTGGACATGAGGTTTGCAGAAGTCCACAGCCATGTCAGAAAAGATTCCATGATCCAACAAGTGTTCAATGCTGAGCAGAGAGCTCTACTCAAACTCAAAACTTCTCAGCAGTCTACTTTGACCAACGATATAAAGCAGGAGATTGCTGCATTAAAAGCCAAAAATGAGGACCTCGAAAAACAAATACTAGCACTTCAAAGCCAGCCTACTGTAGCAGGAACTTCTGGGCAGGTAACCTCTCTTTCAAACCTCCCTCCTAACCTTGAGCAGGCTTTCCAAATGGTAAAGGAGCATGAAGAGTATCTTGGAAACTTGAGAAATAAAGAGTTCCCTGCCATGCTGAAGCTCTCTCAGAAATTTCTTGTGGAGCAGCAGGCTCATGCTAAAGCATATGAACAGCTCACTAAGGACATTGCTCACAACTTCCAAGTTCTCCACAAAGGGACTCAAGAAACCTTCTGGCTGCAAGGAAAGGACTTCCAGAAACTGGGACAAGACTTGGCCCAAACAAAACAAAAACTTCAGAACTTGGAATATGAAGTCAAGGATGAAGTCAAAACAGATCTTATGGACATCAATAACCACATCAAGGCTCTGTCCAATGAAGTGTATGGTCTGGATCCATCAAAAAGACACACTGAAGATCAAGACTCAGATGAAGAAATTGAGGCACTCTTTAGGGAAAGTCAAACTCCTCTTCTAAATGATGCCAAAAAGGGGGAAAGACCAACACAAGCAGGCCTCTCCTCCCTGAGATCAGCAGCAGCAAGGAAAGCAGCTGAAACAAGAAGGAAGAACAAACTTCTCCAAGAAGAAGCAGAAATCAGAAAGAGAAGAGGAGAAGAAGCCAAAGCAAAAGAAGAAGCCAAGACGAAGTTGGAGGAAGCCAACAAGAGTAGACTTCTAGATAAGTCCGAAAGTGACTAAAAACTATTGTATTTTAGACCAATGTACGATTGTCTCAATGAAAATCAATAAAAACATTTGTTTCTTGTGTTGTATAGTTTTGGCATCATCAAAAAGGGGGAAATTGTTAGTACCCAATTTTGATAGATTTTGATGATGCCACTATACTCCACTTTAGTACATTGTGTCCTAATTAAGTTCGAACATTTGCTTTTAAATTTAAATCATAAGTGACAAAAATAAATGTACAATCTTTAAGATTAATGATATATTACCGGATACATAAAAATGCAATAAGGTAACTTTTTACCTTCATAGGATATTTAAATCCTACCGGCATATATCATTTTACTCAAAGATTAAATATAGGTCACATTTGAGATGCTCGAATACATTGAATGTTGATTGGAAGACAAAAGTTGACCAGCATTAAATACACGGTCCTACAGCATGGGAGGATTTCTTGGAGTGAAGCTGCAGCGGCTGAAGACACACCCATACCGCAGCCCAATCATTCAAGACAGAAAACAAAAAGATTAAAAGCTCCTGCACAAGAAGACGAATGTACAATTCGTCCTAGCCAGACCCTCAACGCACAAGATTAATCCATCTCAACCAACGGATGAGATTAATCAACCATGAAGGCCTATAAATATAGGCAGAAGCATGAGTTCAAAAACAAGCTTGAGCATCCTAAGTAGAGAAATACTTTCATCAAAGCATATACGAGATATCTAGCAAAAGAGAAAGTGCAAACTCAACTTTACTCTCTGCTTAGCCTCATGCTTCACTAAGCTCTTAGACTAGATCAACACTTTCATACTTTTAGAGCTTAGTTCATAGTTGGAGGTTAGAACTTTCTTGTAACATTTCACAAGTGGTTGTAAACACTTAGGAGAACAGTTGTTCGGATCCTAAAGTGTAGATAGATAGATAGAGTACCTTTTGATCCCCACTGGATCAATTGAGAAAAGTCTAAGGACTGAGTAACTTTGAGTGGTGTTATACTCATTGTGAAAAACCTTCAATCTAGGCCTATGAGTTGTAAAGGCTAGATTGGCACTAAGTGTATTGGGCTGAATACTTTAGTGGAAATCCATTTGAAAGAGAATGGGACTGGACGTAGGAGGATTACACCACCTCTGAACCAGGATACATCGTGTGTTGATTTCACTTCATTCAACAAAACACACACTCAGCATTTCTCATATAAAGATTGTAGTTTGCCAGCAGCATCTTAAGCAGTTGTCTTAATTGACCCAACTGCTTATCCTTCTGCTTAATTACTCACTCTCTTTGAGGCTATCTCCACACAGTTCACTTGCTAAAGCTTTACCAAAAAGGTTGTTCTATCAGTTCTCGGAAATTCACTTTAATAGTATAGCAGGTGTTTCAGCAGTCTCCTCAGTACCACCCAACTGCTGAGCTCTCTGCTCACTTACATATATTTCCTTTAAACAACTCAACATCACCAGATCCTCATAACATCATCACACGAAGTTTTGCTTAAAAGGATCTCTGAGAATCTGCTTATAACCTCAGCAGGTGACTCAGCAGTTCCCTTTGTACCACCCAACTGCCAAGACCACTGCTCCAGTTAAACTTCATCTTGACCTTACTTAAGTACCTTTTCAGACATCTTTCTTGCGTTCTAAACAACGTTTCATCATCACTCTCATCATAAAGTCAATGTTTCTCTAGCAGTTACCTCAGCAGTTTCCTGCTACCTAGTCTACTGCTAAGCTAACTGCCAAGCCAACTGCTAGCTATCTAAGTCCAAATCTTCCTAAAATTAGAAAGTGGTCAAACACTTATTACATAAAGGGTAAAGACTTCCGCTGTGCATCTGTTAATCTCTCAAAAAGATTATAGATCAATTCATCTAGAGGGAAAACTTCATAAAGTTGAAAAAGATTTAAAAGTTTATTCACCCCCCCTCTAGACTTTTACCCTATCTGGGACCATCAAAAACATACCGTACATGTTAGTAAGTTAAATAATTCAATTGTTATTAAATTCAATTCTAAAATTATTGGCAATAAAAAAATCATACAATTAATTTAATTTGATATAAACTACTCCCTCCGTTCTTTAATAAAAGTCCTTCTTTCCTTTTTGGGACGTTTTTTTATCTGTCCTCCTTTCCATTTAAGGAAAGTTTTTACTCTAAATATACCTTTATACCCCCACTTTTATTACCATTACCCCTTTCTCTATCCTACTTTTTCATTTACCCACTACTCATTACACCTTTTACACTACCCCTACTATTTTCATCAAACCCGTGTCAAAGCTTAAGAGGACTTTTATTAAAGAACGGAGGGAGTATAAGGTAATAATTGACAAATTTTATTAAAAAAATATATTTCTAAATGTATTCAAATGTTTGAAGATATTAGAAGTATCCATTTTCATATGACTAAGGATGTTTTTACTTGGACTATAATTTGCTGGTCTGGTCTGGTCTGATCTGGTCTGATCTGGTCTGGTCTGGTAAGGTCTGGTTTCTTTGTATTTTTATAGCTATCCAAGTCTGATCTGGTCTGATCTGAACTGGTCTGGTCTGGTCTAGATTGGTCTGGGACAAATTACAGTCCAAGTAAAAACATCCTAACTTTCGTTGTACAAAAGTTTGATAGGGTAATTGTCTCCCAAATGTTTGAAGATGTTAGAAGTATCCATTTTCATATGACTAAAGATGTTTTTACTTGGACTATAATTTGCTGGTCTGGTCTGGTCTGAACTGGTCTGGTCTGATCTGATAAGGTCTGGTTTCTTTGTATTTTTATAGCTATCCAAGTCTGGTCTGGTCTGGTCTGAACTGGTCTGGTCTGGTCTAGACTGGTCTGGGACAAATTACAGTCCAAGTAAAAACATCCTAACTTTCGTTGTACAAAAGTTTGTACAATTCTTTTTACTCATGGATGTAACATTGATATATTATTATTTGATAATAATAATTGAGATCATTTTTCATTTATGAATATGTGGCATTTTTTTTTATTTTTAAATGCATAATTGGACATGTCTTTATAAGTTTTGTTCATCTGACCTTCAAGATAAAAATTGTTTATTAAAAGTCTAAACATGCAACTTTTCTTCATTTTAAGAACACTTATTTTATTACCTTCAATAACTTCATCTAAAGAAAAATAAATCGATCACTGCCAATCCCAATATGCAGCCTATTGTCACCGCCATCGCCTTCATTAAAATCAAAATGTCATGAAACTATATATTCTTAAAGAAAGTTACCAAAAGACGATGACGACAACAACAACAACATCTAAGCTTTAATTGTAAAAGATTTTGGGGTCGGCTAACATGAATCAATTAACGATACTCAATAAATTAAATAACAATAATACAATTAAGGATATAAGAAAGATAAAAGATAAAATCATAAAAAGATAAAAGAGCATAAAAAAGCTAGAAAATAAAAATAATATAAGAACCTAAAACAATAAGCCATGCATGAATGAAATTTAATGGATAGAAATTGGCATTCAACATTTTCTTTTAGTTTAGGTAAAAAAAAAAGATTAATTTAACAGAGAGTTATAAAAAATATGCTCTTTTCATTGAAAAATATAGATTGAAAACATGTTTAGATAATTAGTTCAATAATAAGGCATACTCAATAAATTAGAATATGCATTTTTTTAAAAAGTTGTAATCGACTAAATAAGTGATTTTTCGTTAGTAAAACTAAACAACAAAATCATTTTTTCCCGTGCATGGCATGGGTAAAGATACTAGTAAATAGTTAAATACGAGAACTATTTGACATTTTTCTCTTTACGTAATGATTTTTATGCACAATATTCTAATGCACCCTCCTCCCCAAAACAACTTGCTTCTTCATCTAATGGAAATGGTCCTTTTATTCAGCAATATCTAATCTTTTAAAAACAAACTAAATCAACCTACGTTCACAAAGTTAATCAGTTTCCTTTATATCTAATGTTCCATGTGAGTATGAAGACGAGAAAGCCTTTGACATTTTGAAATGGTGAAAGCACAAAGAAAGGATATTGTTTTCTACGTAGTATTTTTTTAACAATGGCGAAACAAAAGTCATAGCCATGTCCGTTTAAATAGCTGTCGTGGAACAAAAGTTTAATGAAACCAAGAACATTCTAACAGATTATAAAACAAGGTTGAGCGCACAATCTCTTGAGACGCTTGTACGTCTTCATGATTGGTAGAATGCCAGTCGGCGAACACACAAACTAAACGTAGCACCGACCCGTCATTTCATGGAGGAAACGACGTCCGACCAAGGAAGCAAGAGTCCCGAAGAGTAAGAGATTTGTAATGTGTTAGTATTATTGTCTACATGTTTATTTTAGCTTAATTACGTACCTTTTTTAAATGTACAAGTCAATTTATGCTTTACTATACATGTGTTAAATTTTTGTTATATGCTTTAATACATGAGTAAAACTGTGTACATCCGATGATAAAAAAGCTGTGTACATCCGATGACCCCTTACCCCACCGTAGATGGGGGCCTTTGTGACACTGGATAATGTTCCTGTTGTTGATATGTATTTAATTTTAGTGTATATAGTTATGGTTTTTATATTAAATAACTAAAAATATGAAACTGGGACCGGACCCAGCTACCAGACCATCCGGAACTGGGTTAATACCTGAGTTGGACTGGACGTGGTTGAGGGTGGGCTGAGGCCAGAGTCCACTGATCTCAGAGCCCAAGTTCAGAAATCCAGATCCATATACATCCCCAAGACCCCAAGTCGTATGGTAGTGCTGAAGGGATAAGAACTTTGGAATAGGGAACTTTAGAAGGAAAAGAACCTCATAGATAAATGACAAATACTCCGCATATAAAATAAGACCCATACAAAATATTCCTAATACTACATGAAGATTCACAGCCAGTATAAATCTTAATTACATGGTTTGCAAAGTTAACAATGGGGTCCATTACAGTTAGAAAAGTTCTCACACACACACACTAGATCCTTGGAGTAATGGCAAAGGTTGGATATTTCCTTACTTTTCTCATGTCATGTTGCTTTCTGAGAATTTTTGGTAGTAAATACATGCACAGCAAGCAGGAGAGAAAGAACGACAGCAAAAACCAAAAACAATATTCCAACAACAAACAAAAGGGTTGGGTTACATAACTTACATGGATGGATCAGTTTAGAGGGTGGAAGGGAGTTTTCCTAAAGTTCTTCATACGGGTCCTGGCCGCTTTCTCCCATACGTTTTCAAATTCATCATCTCACACTTATATCCCTCCGCCAACTTTTTGGCTTCGTTGACCTCCCTCTGTTTACTGTTTACCTTGGCCAAGAGTCTTTTGTTCTCCAGCTCCAACTCCACGATCCTTTTCCGTTGGAGCTCCATCTCATGGTTCACCTGCTCCATGTATCTCTCCTGCAAAACCGCAGCACGCGCAGCAGCACGTGCAGCAGCACCATAGGCAATGACTTCATCCGGGTCGATGCTCTTGCATAGGTTCTTCCCGTTGAAGAAGTCTTGCAGCAATTCTTGGATCTTAGGGATCCGAGTAGATCCACCAACAAGGACAACATCATCGATATCGCTCTTATCCAACCCAGCATTAATCAAAAACCACTTAACCAGCTCCATACACTTCCTAAACAAATCCAAGTTCAGATCCTCGAACTTCATCCTTGTGATGGTTGTGTAAAAATCAATACTCTTATTGAAAGAATCAATTTCCATTGTGGCCTGAGCAGTAGAAGATGAACTCCTCTTTGCTTTCTCATGTGCTATCCTCAGCATCATCGACCTTGCAATGGGTGAGTCGTACCCAATACCCTCGAACAATGAATCAAGTCCAATGGTAGCCTGGATGCTGCCTGACAAGGTCTTCTTTGCCCTCTCGCACGCTGACCTTAGTCTCTTCAAAGCCTTGGGGTTTTCACTGATATCCTTTTTGTGCTTCCTTTTGAACTGCTGAACAAAGTGGTCAACCATTCTGTCATCAAAATATACACCTCCCAGGAGGGTGTCACCTGAGGTGGCCTGAACCTCAATGCATCCATCTTCTATCGTGAGTAGAGAAACATCACAACTACAACTTCCCAGATCAAATATGAGCACATTCTTCACCCCCGAGCTTGCTTTCTTATCCAATCCGTATGCAAATGCAGCTGCGGTGTGTTCATCAATGATGGACAAAACATTGAGACCGGAAATGACTCCAGCATCCTTTGTGGCTTGGCTTCGAGAGGCATTGAAATCAACAGGGACAGTGAGCACAGCATTCTTGATTGTTGTTCCGAGACAGGCCTCTGCAATCCCCCTCATCTGTGTTAGAACCATTGAAGAAATTTCCTCTGCAGAAATTTGCTTCTCCTTACCATTGTAGGTCACTACAATCATTGGCTTGTCACAAGGCCCGACAACAACCTTGAAGGGCCAAAACTTCATGTCACTCTGCACTGAGGGATCACTGAATCTCCTCCCTATCAATCGCTTAGCATCTAAACAAACTCAAATTAAAGATCTTTCAAATTGAAATCAGATTCCATCAATAAAAAGAGCTGGTGGAAATTTTGCAGTGCATACAGCATACTAATGTTCACTGAATCTCATGAAGATATGTACTTCCTCTTTCTCTTTTAGTTGCAACATTCCCATTTTTACATTTGTCGATGCACAACTTTGACCGTCATTACATTTAATTCTCTTCTAGTAAAAACATTTATAAATCAGATTATGAAAATATATTTATTATGGGAGGAATTCGACAATATTTTTCAATGAAATTAATTCTCATACGTTAATAAATAAAATGTAGTCAAAGTAGAAGTGTAGAACATGCGAATAGTGCAAAATTATCTATGTCGCAACTAAAAGGAAACAGGAGGTAGTATTTTTCAGACAAATCTTATAACTCTCTCAAGGTCCAGAGGTCGCACACTAGCTTCGGTGCTTGGCTATAATTTTTTATTTTATTATTATGTTCTGTAATATTAACACATGTATTTTTGGTATGAAACATTAAAATCCTGTACTTTTAAGATTTTTTATTCCTAGTTAGAGTATCTTCATCCCTGCAGCACTGTTAACACTTAAAAGTTAAATATGAATTCCGTATACATAAAAACCATGAATCGGTTCTGTCAACACATTTTCCCTTGCATTCTAGCATCATCATAAAATCAATTTAGTATATTTTTCACATATCATATTAGTAAAACATTAATTAAATTATTACAAACAATATTTTTCTTTGTTTTTGTCTGAATAATTAAATAAACAAATGCACATTAGATGTTAAAAAAGTTTCGATGTTTATTTTATTCTTTTCGGTTAATAATTAAATCCTTAATTTAATTATTATACACAATTTTTTGCCATTTTTTTACGAATAACAGTGATTCAAAAAGTCAAACAGTGCGATATAAAAAAATTGGGTCTTAAAACCTCGACCAATTGGAACTTCAGATTTATTCTAAACTTTATATTTGTAATATGAGAAAACTGTCAAATAGGTCCTCGAACTTTCATAAAAAAGGTCAAATAAGTTCTTGTATAAGAGGATTTGTCCGGCCGTCGCAATTTGGAACGGTTCCCGGTGGAATTTTTTGATGAAATTTTTTGAACATCTTATACAAAATTTCAGTTAAAACTATAATCGGGAACACATTCAAATTAATTGCGCAGAAAATGGACAGTTATCTTCTAAAAACATATGACTCCCAACCACCGCAATCATAAACTTAGATCCGCAGCTAAAAGACAATACACATAAAGAAATGACAAATGCGTACCAAAGATGGTGTTAATGGGGTTCATGGAAATTTGGTTTCTGGCAGAATCGCCAATGAAAATCTCAGTGTCCATGAACGCGACGCAAGACGGCGTCTTTCTGTTCCCAATGTCGTTGGCTATGATTTCTACACGGTCTTTTTCGGGTCGCCACACTCCGACGCGGGAGTACGTCATACCTAAGTCGATTCCGATCGCCGGAGCTTCTCCTTTTCCGTCCATAACTTTATTTCCACAAAAACCTATCAGTACATCGAAAAACGAAGCATGAAAGTACAGAAAATGGAAGAAATTGACGAACACACTTTTGGGAGGGAAAAAGGGGAAGCTTAGAAATGAAGGGCGCGTACCACGGCGGTTACTTCCCATATCTCTGGGCTGCTTTCGGGTTGCACGTCGTTCTGGTTTTAGAGGATTTCAGCTTTCCAACTGCGATTTAAGAATGCTCCTACAGTCAGTTTCAGAAAACGGAAAAAACTCTTCTGATTTCGAACGCTTCTCAGCTTCAGTTGTAAAACTAGACCGGGAAGCGCTTTCACCGAACAATGGGTCATAGGTCAACCGGGTTTGAAAAATCCGGTCAACTTTCATACGAATATAAGTTTTAAGTCAATTCTGCATTTAAAATTAGAGGGGTCTATTGTACTACCTCCGTCTCAAATTGAGTTGCAACTTTGACTTTTCTTGGTCAAATAGGTTCGTTTTGTTTGCTTAATTAGGATGTCAATTTTTTATTATATTCCAATTTGGAGTTTACAACTTTGAAGAGATTTCAATGTAGTTTATGAATATGTAAATTTTTATTATTAAAAATTGAATTAATTATCAATAAGAAGGTTTGATTTTTATTATTGGTTGACCAAAAAATGTTGACTTTGCAAAACAATTTGGGAGGGAGGGAGTATTAGGAACTAGTGTCAAAATTTTAAAATTTTATAAATTTTAAAAGTTTAGGTATATTCAATGTGGCCTTTTAAAAGTCAATGTGTATTCATAAACTTTTAAAAGTCTATAAAAGTCTAAGGGGGCGTATGGTAAGATGTAAAATAATTACTTTGCATGCAAAGTGTAAGAACGTAAAATGTTTACACTGTTTTGCTTGATTATTTAATGGGGGGAAGGTGGTAAAATACTTTACCACCTCCCCCCTTAGACTTTTAAAAGTCTATTCAATGTGACCTTTTAAAGACATTTTGTACTGTACCATGTAAAATATTTTACGTGGGGGGGAAGGTGGTAAAATACTTTGCATGCTTTTTATAAAGCGCTGCAGCGCCTATGCGTGCAAATTAAATATCTAACCAAACAATGTAATCTAATTTGCATGCAAAATGATTGCTTCCCTAAACTTTGCATGCAATTATTTTGCGTGTAAAGATTTAACGTGTAAACTAACAAACGAGCCCTAAGTGTATTCAAACGTACATTCATTCTTATTGACTTCTAAATCATGGATTTTCATGAATTTTTAACTCACTTTTAGTTCATTAATTCTCTACAATTATCTCTTCTTCCATCAAAGATTTCCGTGGACTTTTCGTGTTGTCTTCTGCTCATCACAAGTACGCATAGATTTGGTTGCAAATTTGGTTAATTATTTATCTGGGGTCACAAATCGGCCAACAAGTCTTGGATTACTACCGGCCAGGTTGAGAGGTGGGTACCGGGATGGTCTCAATATGCAAGATTTGAACATTAAAATTTATTTATTTTATCATGTTACGATAAATAAAGTTGAACAAGGAGATTCTACATTAATGATGATACACAAAATAAACTTGAAAAAGTGATATTTTATATGTCGTCTTACGAAGAAAAATGTAGAGGTGAGATCGGTTCAGTTCTTGAAATAAAATTAGGAACCATTTGAAGAATCGTTAATCCCATTTTGATTCAGTTCTAGAAGTATTTAGAAGAATCGATATAAGAATCGCTAGTATTACATCGGTGCAATTTTGGTACGTTGTTAGTTAACCATTAAGCAAAAAAAAATTATAACTGATACTGTGTTTCATCGCTAAAATGCTAACACATAAAAACATAATTTCAAATTAATAAATATTTAACCGTAAATAAGTATACAAAATTTAACAAGCTAAAATGAAAGAAAAACCATTTTGAAAAAAAAAAACTCGATTGCATGTATGTTTGTACCTGATAAGATACACATGCATGGCATGCATGCGTGTGCATGGCATACGTTTTATACGTATGACTTTAATTTATTCCCATCATATTTAATTAATTGTAATATAATGTAAATATTATCTCCTTAGCTATTATTGTGCATATAGTTGGGATATGATTAGCTTCCCGTATTTCCAGCCTATACGGCACTGCACCTAGACTATTAGCTGGATAGCTTTTGTATCGGATAGGAATTTACTTAGCGTATAGCATGCAACTGCATATGATGTATTTGACTATTTATATCTTGGAAATAATACGAAACAGACCACGGGTGAATTTTCCCAGACTTTAACTGTACCACATGGAGCAATGAGTGTAACACTTGTGTAATGATTAATTTCTTACTCATTGAGTTGTGTAACATAACAATTGATCATAAAGAGATCGATATTGTTGAGCACTCTTAAAACTTTGAGGTTTCTGTATGCTTCATTTATTCTTGTAGAACTTCGTATTGCAAGATGAATTACATTTGTTTCAGTTATTTATTTAATTGTTTCTTATCCTATTATACCGAGGAAATTACTCACGCTAGGACTAAAATATAGCATTTCCCCAAAGCATGATCATATGTTTGACTTTCCTTAAATAGGACTAAATATTACTCCCTCCGTCCCCTTTTAAATGGGACGGGAGATGGTGGCACGAGTTTTAAGAAATGTGAGTTTGTGTGGTTGATATTAATTGATAAAGTAAGAATAAAGTAAGAATGATTTTGAGCCACACAAAGTTTACCAAATAAGGTATGGGGCAATTAAATAGGGACATCCCAATATGGTAAAACGAGACATTTAAAAGGGGACAGAGGGAGTACATTTCTACCCCTAATTTAATTAATTATTATAATTAATTACCCCTAATTTCCTCGCATAACCAACGTCATTTTATTGATCGTCGATCAGTTCGATGACGACGGCGGCGAACTACGGTGACAGAGGTGGACAGGCAGATCAATAGTGGCGATCTATGTGAAAATTCCGACGACCCAATAGTGATGGTCCGGATTTAAAAGTCTATGGGCTTTTTGAAAGTTCATAAACTTATTCATGACTTTAAAGTCAATAGAATTCATTCATAAAAAAATATATGAATTTAAAAGTTCATTGACATTTTTAAAAGTCCAAGAATTAAAAAAATGGGATTTTTTCGCAACCGGCCTAAAAACTCAAAGTAATTTCATTTCATTTTTTTCATTTTTGAAAGTTTTTTCAAATATAGACAAGATGAAATTTCCTTTTCAATTACAGACCCTATGCATAAACACTTCGCCCCCACTTAGGCATATAACTCCCTGGTCACGCATGTTAATTCAAATACTCAAAACACTGGACCCCACTACCTTATTACTCCGTAATATTGAGCTCACAAACTCCGTAACTCCCAGGTCACATACTTCCATTTGTTGCTCGTATTGATAACTAACAATTAAAAGCAATATAAATAATTATAATAAATATAATAATAACAATAATAATTATTATTATTGCTATTATTATTAGAAAAATTGTTCTCAATGAAAAGATGTTATAAATTTTCACAAAAATGAAATGTTATACACCGTACAAAATTGAAAGATTATAAAGTCTGTAAATTAGGAAGACAATGAAAATTAGCAAAAAGGTTAAACAGAATATAAAATACAATATATAATATAATCTAAAATCTTAAATACTATCTTTCAATGACCGCAACAAAAAGTTGAAAATTGTATTAAATAATATACATATATATTAAAATAAAAGTTTTAAATAGTAAAAATAATTGGAGTAACAAAAAGTTGAATAAGGGTCAATAATTGAAGAAAAAATGATATAGAGGAAAAAATATAAAAAATGTGGATAAATATATTAAATGTAAAATAAATTTAAAAAAAAATGAAACAAAGAGCAAACTATAATAAGCTGTTAAAAGTCTAAGAATAAAAGAAAAATACTAAAATGAGTACAAAAAATTAAATTTGAAAAAGTCCATAGAAAATAAAATATCAAAAATCAAAATGTGAAAAAATAAAATGTATGCAATGTCGAAAATTTGTAAGAAATGTATAAAATTGAAAAAAAAATAAAAGATAGGAATTTTGTATTTTGAAGTCTTAAAATAGTAACAAAAAGTAATTATTATCACCACACCACTTTATTGTTGTTTCTTGTTGCATGAGATTGCTTTTTATTTTCTGTCTATTAAATTGTAATTATTTATTATTTATTTTTGTTTCTTGTTGTTCATTTTCCTAAATCCAAATTTATTATTATGGGTGTGTTGGTTTTTACTCCTAAATAGTAAACATAAATAGAAAGCCAAATTAACAAACATGTCAACAATACAACACGATTCAACAAAAAACAACATGATACAACAAAAAGAAACAAAATAAAAAGCAACACAATGCAACAAGATAGCAACAAAATACAACAGGGTGCAACAAAATTCAACAGGATGAAACAAAATGCAACAACATGCAACAAAACAAAAAGGAAACAATTTCATCACACAAAAGTATTCAATGAATCCACACTTAAACTTATTTCTCTATATTCATGATCAGAAACAACAATAAAACAGTAGTAGGAGTGTCACTCCAGCAGCTAGCTAGGACTGAAGAAGAACCCAACAACAAGAACCAGCTACTAATGTTGCTTCCCCGGCGACGATGTTTTGATTGAAAAACCTATGGCCCGATTGATGTCTTGACAAAAAAAAACTCTCTTCAAATCATTGTTTGATTTAATGTCGATTCAAGTGGAATTATAACAAGAACAGTTTTAGCTAAAAAAGAGAGAAAATAATTACGGGACAAATCCAAAAGGAAAAAACGAATATTAATGTAGAATAGAGTGATACAAGAAGTAGTAAATTTAAGATAATTGGAATCATCGATTCAGTAGTATTATAAATTATAAATGGTTCCATATTGTCATTGAGAATATGATAGTCTTGGTAAGCTTATTAGGCCATATATTTCTCTATAGAAGCATTTTATTAGTGTGTGTTCTTGAGAGTGATAGCTTAGCATTCACGCGAGGTAGTTGGAGCATAAGTATGATTGAGTGTGAGTAAAGTCAAAAGAAAAACTAGGTGATCAAGCTAAGTGAAGCATGGTGCCTAGGCTAGTTAGTCCTATACTCCGTATATGTTAGTATTTTTGTGAGACTAAATGCGGTGATCAAATATATACTTTGTTTTATTCAATTCTATGCTAGGCATCAAAGCATCAAGCTACCAAGCACTTTTAACTGTTTTATCAAATTAAAGCTCACGAAATCCAGAGTTTACCACATGACTATACGTGACATTTAGCTTTACTCTCTCAAAATGCATAAATTTCACCATATTCACAAGTATGATTCATGGTGGTGGACTGTTATGCATGGAACATGAAAACAACCAAGCACATATAGAAAGTATATATAGAAAGTGATCTTGTTATGCCGATAAAAAGTAGGTAAACTTTAATTTTTAGGGAAAAAGAAACTGAGATACATACACAAATATACTAAAACAATAGATTATTAGATATTTTACTACTTTACTCTATTAAATCGACTGGTTTTCTTCTCCCTAAATTGATGCCCCTTAGTCATGATGCACTCATATAGTGAGATTTTTCCCATCTAACCTAGCTATTGAAGTAAAAAAAAAAATTGTATGTACTTCTTTGGGGACTTTTCTCAAACATTTCACTTGCAAACTTCCAACATTAAGTTACTTTATATATTTTTACATTAACTTCTTAAGTGATCAATAAATTCACGCCCACTCATGTACGGAGTACAAAACATTTAAATGTTGGAAGTTTAACATGGCTAAAACTAGGAGAAAATATTAATGATAACTTAAAACGATGATGAGATGAAACACTACTTACAGGGAGTTAAATATTAGGAGTTATCAATTACATATATTGGGAGTTTAGAACACAAATCATGAACCAATTTAACATGGCTAAAACTAGGAGAAAATATTAATGATAACTTAAAACGATAATGAGATGAAACACTACTTACAGGGAATTCTGGTTGCTGTTAGAGAGATACGAAAGAGGTTCCTCGCTCATCAAATCGCTAAGTATGATGAACCCCGCCCGTTCTCAACAAAAATTTTACCACTCATCGAGCTTGATCGACTCTGCTTTGGATATTTGGTGGATTCAATTCCGCAGATTAGGCAATGGCAGTAACAGGTGGTGGTCACCGCGTGTGCCAGTTTATTTATCTCTCTGTTGATTGGCTCTCCTGGATTTTTTCATCCACACGTCCATGAGAAAGTCGATTGGAAATTTGCTCTGCGTATCTTTTTCTGAAAGAGGTCGGCAAACTGCCTAAAATGAAATAAGAAAATAAAATTGAAAACTTAGAAGTTAAAAATGAAAATGAAAAGTAATTGGGCTATAAATGATAATAGATCATACAAGAGCAGACCTTCCGGGTAATTACCACAAAAAAAAAAATCACCATGATCCATATTCAATACACCCTTCTTAATCCATAGCTTTGACTTTGTTCATTTTTAGCATTTGATTAATGTTCTCAAATCATTTGTGGTTCTTTTCTGATAATTTTAATCACCGTAAATATTGACGGAAGGATTATGTACCAAAATTGGTCAAAGTCAAATATGTGGACCAGTTGTGGAATTGGTGACATACCAATAGGATAAAAAATGAATTTTTTTTCTAAATTTTATAGTAAAAACATACACCAATATTGTTTTTAGAGAAAACAATTTATATTATAATACTCCCTCCGTCCCATTTATATTGTTCCGTTTTACCTTTTCGGGAAGTCCCACTTAAATTGTCCCATACCATATTGGGCAAAGTTTGTGTGGTTCTAAACCATTCTTACTTTATTCTTACTTTATCAATTAATATCAACCACACAAACTCACTTTTCTTAATAATCGTGCCACCCTCTTCCGTCCCAATATAAATGGGACGGAGGTAGTATCATACTCCAAACAGGTAACATCAAGACTAGCCTGATGTTACCTGTTTGGACCAGACTCTAAGTCAATCACGCACTCAGAAGCAATGTAACTCACTAATCCCAGTTTGGGAAAGTGTAAGCCAACCATAATCGGTCTAGTATTCTTGTTGATAATCATATTCTGAGCTTGACCAACCATAAAAATAAAGACTAAATAAAAGTCATTCCAACAAAAAGAAACCGTCAAGTACAAAAACTGAAGTCCTTAATAAAAAAAAGACAACAACAGCATAGAGCTAAAATATAAAACTTTGAAGAAGACCTTGGCGAGCCTAGCTAGAATCTTAGGGCCTTCAACTAGATCTTCCTGTTCTTGGTTCTTTGACACACAAGCTTCAACCGTATAAACAACGGACTTTACAGAAAAGATCAAACCAAAATCTTTCTCACAAGTATTTTAGTCTTTTTGAAGTGGAAGCTGTGATTGGTAAGGTTGCCTATGAGCTAAAACTGCCAGTATATTAGCAAAATATGGACAACACCACTACAATCAACTAGTTCTAGGCTTCTAGCCATTCTTGATAGAAGGGTGGTCAAATTTCAGAATTCAATAACTGTGCAATGCTTGGTGCAGTTGGATGGTTTGATTGGTTTCCCTGCTAGTGAAGCTTCATGGGAGAATATCTCAACCTTTGCAGCACAATATACGCCAGACTTTGTTATTCAGACCATTAAGGGGAGCATTATAATACATCTGGATCTTAGTCAACTGGATAATAGTGAATAATGTGTTAGCTAGCAATTCATATAATTAGTTGGTTAGCTAATATGTTAGACTTAGTCTGGTAAGCTCAATGATTCGAACTGGTAGGCGATTTTCTCATTCACTCAACTTCTCTCTTTCTCCATCGTTTGAGTATCTTCTTGTGGTTCCTCCATCATTCTGAATTCTGAGTCCCGTTGTGTTCCTTCATCCCAGAGTTATAAAATTGACTTTGGGAGGATTCAATTTTAATTTGAATTAATTATCAATTGGGAGGATTCTATTTTAAAATTGGTTGACAAAAAAATGTAAATTTTGTAAAACAATTTGAGAGGGAACAATTTGAGAGGGAGGTAGTATTTGATTTGATCAAATGTGATGCATAACTTTATTAGATTTTGTTTAATAGATACCATATCTCACGTTATGTTGACGGCAATTGGCAAGTGGTGGAATAATACTTAAGTTTTGCATTCAATTTAGTACACTATGTAGTTTTGTTCGTTTTAATTTAGCAAATGGTGTTTAGGAAAGACCAATCTTCTATATTTCTTACTAAAAAGGGACAAATTAGCAATTCAAATTTGGTGAACAATTGTCTTCGTTTGGAACTTCTTCGTTGATTAAATAGTTTTTCTATGTATGAAAGTATTAAAGTAAACAAAAGAAGCAAAACAAATACTCCCTCCGTAACTTTAAAATCTTCCCACTTTCCTTTTTCGTCCGTAACAAAAAAATCTTCTCATTTCTAAATCTTCCTATCATACCCTCAATAATTCTGAAAATAATACACTATTACAACTACTTTTTTTGGATTTATCCTACATTCCATCACCTTATTCCACTATCTTCCTATCATACCCTCAATAATTCATATTCACTTTCACTATTCTTAATCTACCTACTTTTCAAATGTGAAGATTTTAAAGATACGGAGGGAGTACGATAGTATAGAGTACAAACAAAAATTATTACTCACGTGCATAATAAGACGAACAAAAATAGAGGCCAGATTTAAACAGTTGGGTTAAAAGAAAAAGTGAAGGTCATCCAAGATTCATCCAGAATTAACAGCAAAAACACCAGAAAGTAACCAAACTACTGCAGCTGTCTGTTTAGTCGACTTCTTCGATCTTAGGTCCAGCACCACTAGCAGGAGCATCGTCATCACCCATAGGTGCACCGCCACCCATGCCTCCACCGTCCTGGTATATCTTCGCAATTATCGGATTGCACAACGCTTCCAACTCCTTCATCTTGTCTTCAAACTCCTCCACCTCTGCAAGTTGGTTGGAGTCAAGCCAATGAATAGCTCCCTCAATTGCATCCTCAAGCTTCTTCTTATCAGCCGGTGGAAGCTTGGGGCCGATTTTCTCATCCTTCAAGGTGTTCCTCATGTTGTATGCATAGTTCTCCAAGGCATTCTTAGCGTCCACCTTCTTCTTGTGGTCCTCATCTTCAGACTTGTACTTCTCAGCTTCCTGCACCATTCTCTCAATCTCCTCCTTGGAAAGCCTTCCCTTATCGTTGGTGATGGTGATCTTGTTCTTCTGACCTGTCGTCTTGTCTTCAGCTGAGACATTTAGAATGCCATTGGCATCAATGTCAAAACAGACAGTGATCTGCGGGACACCCCTGGGGGCTGGCGGAATGCCAGAAAGCTCGAATTTGCCTAACAGGTTGTTGTCCTTTGTCCTGGCCCTTTCTCCTTCATAAACTTGGATCAGAACACCAGGCTGGTTATCTGAGTATGTGGAGAAGATTTGCTCTTTCTTGGTAGGGATGGTTGTGTTCCTTGGGATCAAAACGGTCATAACACCTCCAGCTGTTTCCAGACCAAGGGAGAGGGGAGTGACATCCAACAGCAACAGGTCTTGAACCTTCTGGTTCCCTTCTCCACTCAGAATAGCAGCCTGGACAGCAGCTCCATATGCAACAGCTTCATCAGGGTTGATGCTCTTGCAGAGCTCTTTGCCATTGAAGAAATCCTGTAGCAATTGTTGAACCTTGGGGATCCTAGTGGACCCACCTACAAGGACAACATCATGGACACTGCTCTTGTCCATCTTCGCGTCTCTCAAGCATTTTTCAACTGGTTCCATACACTTCCTGAACAGATCCATGTTAAGCTCTTCGAACCTAGCCCTCGTAATGGTCGTGTAGAAATCAATGCCCTCAAACAATGAATCAATTTCGATGGTGGTCTGAGCAGTGGAGGACAGAGTCCTCTTTGCCCTCTCGCAAGCTGTCCTCAGCCTCCTCAACGCCCTGGGGTTCCCACTGATATCCTTCTTGTGTTTCCTCTTGAATTCCTGAACAAAGTGGTTCACCATTCTGTTATCAAAATCTTCACCTCCCAAATGGGTGTCACCTGCAGTCGACTTCACCTCAAAGATACCCTCCTCAATTGTTAGCAGTGAAACATCGAAAGTACCACCACCCAGGTCAAAGATCAGCACGTTTTTCTCACTCGAGCTGGTTGATTTCTTGTCCAGACCATATGCAATTGCAGCTGCGGTGGGTTCATTGATGATTCTCATAACATTGAGGCCAGAGATAACTCCAGCGTCCTTAGTTGCCTGGCGTTGCGAGTCATTGAAGTAAGCAGGCACAGTGACCACTGCATTCTTGATTGTACTTCCGAGATAAGCCTCTGCAATCTCCTTCATCTTCGTTAAAACCATAGATGAAATCTCCTCTGCGGAGAATTGCTTCTCCTCACCCTTGTATGTCACCACAATCATTGGCTTGTCACCGGAACCAGGAATCACCTTGAACGGCCATAACTTCATGTCACTCTGTACTGAGGGATCATTGAATCTCCTCCCAATCAAGCGCTTAGCATCTAATCAATTCAGATTAAAGATATTCATAATTACGATCAGAAGTCATCCGTATTCTCATATAGTCAAATACTTGAGAGAAAACTACACTGTTTTATCAGATACATTAAGACATTAACAGTTGATTGTATACAGATTACAGGTCACAGAACGTGTTCATAACCTGGTCTAAAAGGCCTAAAACCATATACTATCGTACATAGGAGTTATAGACGAATTTATGCTATGCTGAAGGAAAGTCATAGATGAGAAATCAACAACTACGCTGATTATCACATACATAAAAGTTATGCTATAACCCGGCCTAAAAGGCCTAGACCTATGCATAGGAGCTAGACTGAAGGAAAGTCATAATCAGAAACTAAATAAGAAGATGTGAAACGTACCGAAGACGGTGTTAATAGGGTTCATGGCGACTTGATTCTTCGCGGCATCGCCGATGAGACGTTCAGTATCCGTGAATGCGACGTAAGACGGAGTCGTTCGGTTTCCTTGATCATTGGCTATGATCTCCACGCGATCGTGTTGCCACACTCCGACGCAGGAGTACGTGGTTCCCAGATCGATTCCGATTGCTGGTCCTTCACCTTTTCCGGCCATAACTGTCCTCCCTCAAAAACTCAAAAGCAATCACGAAAACCAAAAGTAGAAGTGTAAAACAACTCGGAAGAAAGCTTGGTGAACAATTTCTAAGTGATTGAAGAGTGTGGGAGGAAAGCGGAGTGTTATTATTATAAAGAAAATCCGCTCTCCAGAATGTTCATGGCCATTCTAGTGTCTTCCGCGCGTATAGGAGCACACGATCACCTAGTTTGTTCGAGAACTTTCTAGCTTTCAAATCCAACGAAATAGATGCATAATGTATGGCTGTGTGCAAAACCCCTGCATTCAAATCTCACGTTTTTTATTACTTTGTCAAGCGAAAATCGCCCGTC